CCACCTCCTGGCCCCTGACCTGTGTCACCAGAAGTCCCTCCCCTTGCCCTGGAAGTATTCCTTTTGAGAAGGGGGTTTGCCATCTTGGAACTGAAAAAAAAACCAAATTATATACTAAAAATCAAACATCCACAATAACATATATTAATTTTATTTTAAAAAGATATTTTTGTCCTGATTTGTATGCCTTTGCATCATGCATATAGAGGTTATTGCATAATACCTCAAAATGAAGTCCTACTCTTGTATATTGCAGGGGTATGGAGGGGTGGGGGGCATAGAGGGCTGGGTATGGGGTTTGTGGGGTCTTGCGGGTGTGTGGGGATGTGTGCAGATGTGGGTGGGTAGGTAGGGGGGCGTGTTTGGGGGTGTGTGTATGGGTAGCAGTGAGCGGGGCTCCCCCTAGAGGCGCACAGGTGTGTGTGTAGGGGAAGGCGTAGGTGTGTGTGGTGTTTGTGGGGTGTGTGATTGTGTGCAGAGGAGGATGTGGTTGTGGGGTTTGCATGGGAGGGTTTGTGGGTATGGTGGGGTGTGCATGGGAGTCCTCATGTGCGTACCCCTGAGCTGTTCAGCACCTGCTCCTGCCCCACAGCAGCCTGGAGCACATGTGCTCTGCAGAGCCTCCCCACCACCAGCACACAGCCCCAGCCCACCCTGGACTGCTCCTGCTAGGTTCAGATCAGCCAGACATGTGCACAGGCCCACCCCAGCCCACCCCATGCCTGCTCTGCACTACCCAACAGTGGTGCATCCTGTTGCCTCCTGGGCATGCAGCAGGGCTGGGGTGACTCCACAGTTTGACTGCCTTTCTAGGCAGCCCAGGTGGCAGCAGCCACTGGCCCCAACTCCGCAGTACTGGCAGGGACCCTGATCCACCTGCTCATGCTGAACAGCTGCAGCAGTGCCAGCGGGTCAGAAGTGTGCTTAGCACAGGTGAAAAGCAGCCCCTCCCTCTCGCTGCTACCCAGCAGTTCCTGCAGTAGCAGCCTGGTCCCCACCACTGTCACTGCTGCCTTCCGGCTGCCCCATGCTGACCACACTTCTGTCCCGCCAGCATTGATGCTGCTGCAACTGTTCAGCAGAAGCAGGCAAGTCCACAGCAGACACAGGGTGGGCCAGGGCTGCGTGCGGATCCCCACCAGTACTGCGGGGCTGGGGCCAGAGGTACCACCACCTAGGCTGCTGAGAAAGGCAGTGCAGCTGCAGAGCCGCCCCAGCCCCGCTGTGTGCCCAGGGGGCAGCAGGATGCGTCACAGCAGGATGGTGCCTGGGCCAGGAGGGACCAAAGGGCCTGCTGTGAGCCAGATCTGGCCTACAGACCGTATTTTGCCCACCCCTGCCTTACGGGCTAAACATGGTCTTCTTTTACCCTTTCAGCCATGCCCATGCCTCACAGGTGTTACTTTAAATGGTCTACTGGTTCTGATGGCTCTGCCTGTTAATCAACTAATCCACCTGGTTTGCCAGGGCCCTGACCTGGTTTAGCTTCTGCCTGCCCTGGGCTTCAGCCCCTTTCCAGGCTTTTGCCCCCTTGCCTCAAGGCTGCTTGGCTTTGGCCTCCCTACTATGGCCTTAGCCTTCTGTTCTCTAGGCCCCTGTCCCTCACATGGCTGCTATAGTCCTATCCTAGCCAAGGCTGGGCTGCTTTTGCTTGTACTCCAGTTAGCCCTGGGCACTTGCAAAGCTCTTTCTTTTCTCAATTAAACCTGTTCTGGCCTCAGCCCTGCATACTCTGGGCCCCTAGCTCTCATACAGCAGCTATAGCCTTCTGAGTCCTTAGCCTTTTGGTCCCAGACCCTAGGCTTGGCTGTCTGCTACTAAGTGCCTGCCAGGCACCCCTCTGTGGCCTCTAGACCTTCCCTGGTTAGCCACACGTAGTCCTCCAGTCTAATAAGAACATGAAACACAAGCCCCCTACCTAGCTATATAACCAAAACTCTCCCCACACTAGGTTTATACTTCACCCCACAGGCTGCATGTCCCCCTTAGTCCTTTACTTGCATCTCTGGGAAACAGCTTGGGTGCTGATCAGTCCCTCTCTACAGCTATACTGCCTAGGAGCTCTTCTCCCTGCAGAGCCAAGCTGCCTTTCTGGATCAGGAGTCAGGCTTTTCATGGGCTGGAGCTTTGCCTCTTCTAGTCATAGGGCTCAGCCCTCAGCTTGCTCTCAGGTGCTGCAGTTTAAGACCTGATCCACAGTTTAAGAGCCCAATTGCTGCCTTTCCCCTGTGGCCCTTTAACCCCTTCTGTTTCCCAGTCTGCTGGCTCCCAGGATAGTCGCTTGTCCCCCAGGAGCAGCTCCTATGGCAGCTAATACTGCCTGCTTATTTTACAACAGCTGACCCTCATTCAGCTTCCAGTGCCACCCAGCAAGCTTAGCCTGCAGCAGCATCCCCTTAGAGTAATAGGAGCCTCTGGCTCTCTGTTATAAGGGGGTAATCAAGTCTGGTACATTTGATCAGTACAAAATAAACCCTGGTGACAACCACAAGAATCAGATCTGGAACTGAACACTAACAACATACAGAAAGGGTTTAGAGCTGTGACTTAGCCCTATCTGGCTAAGAGTGCATGAGCTGCAGGAGAAATCAAGTTTTTCCTGACTTATACAGTGGCCTGAATTCCTTTGACATTAATGGGGCTCAGCTGTCAGAGCTCCCTCCCCTGCCTTAGAAGTCTGGAAAAATGTGTTCAGTTTTCCTCTTTCCTTTCTCACCACTAATGACCATCTGCGCAACAATTTGGGCCTTTTCCAGTGTCTGCTACCACCTGTGGTTCGATGGAGTTTATGGATGACGACAAGATAGAGGAACACTCGAATTCATGAAATGTACAGCTGTGAAGCTTTCTGATCCTTCCAAACTGTATCAATTTGCATGTTGAGTTTTAAAGTGGTTTTTCCAAATGCACAGTATGTTTGCATAGCCTCAAACAAAGCGATAACATGTGACTGTATAGCAGCTACAGCGATCTCAAAAGAGGATTTTGTGGATTCATATTTTTTAAGGCCAGAAGGGACCTTTTGGATCATTTAGTAGATCTCTTGCATAGCACAGCTCAGAGAGGTTCACTCTGTGATTCTTCACAACGGGAGAATTGTCCTTTCCTACAGTATAAGTGAATCACAGAGCCAGAGACCAATATTGTCATGGGGCTCATGGTGCCTTGCTCTCATTAATAGGTGCTGTTTTGTTTTGGTTTTTTTATTGGGGAGATGTTGCTGAGAAAATGGTTATTTATATTTAATTTTTCAAGGTCTAAAGTAAACTTACTGATGCCTTTGGCAAGGACATAAACATTTGTGAACCACACGCTCATAGGGTCTAGACCCAGTGAATGCAAGGGCTCAAGAGTGCGGTGTTCAAGAAGTGCAGATATATGCCCCTACATGGTCCTTGAAAGGCAGCACCATGCTCAGACAGGCTGTGTTAGTTCTTCGTGCACCAGCCCTCGCACTAGCAGCAGTACAGTTGTGTTAGTACAGCACACACAAACCAGTATGGTTTGTTTGTGCAGCATCTCTCAGCATGGCGTTGTCTTGATATACCCCAAGGCAGTAGTTCTCAACCTCTTTTGTACCAGGACCCATTTGTAAACATCAGTGGGCAGTCCCAACCCCTCACATCTGACCCTCTGCATCCTGGCCCTAGCCCTGCAGTGTGGGGCAGGGTGAGGTGTATGCAGGGCATTGGGGACACCAAGCAGCCCCTTGCAGGCTGGAACTCTGCCAGCCTGCAAGGGAAAAGCCAGTTTCCCATGTTTTTCTCCTTTAAAGGAAAATCCATTTTTAAAGTTTGTTTGCAACCCTTTCATATGTTCTTGCAACCCACTTTTGGGTCATGATGACCCACAGGTTAAGAAATGCTGCCCTAACAGACATAGAAAATCAGTGACACTTGAACTCCACTGAGAAGCTGGACTTTCTAGGCTCTTTTGAACAACAAATGAAAACCAATACTGTGAATCAACCTACCCTCATGAACTAACTGGAAGCCAGGACAAGTACTGCAATATTTAAACATAAAGAGAAGGGGCAATGTCCATTGCAAGCTACAAATTAAGAACATAGAGCCCTGCGTGGAAGAACTGACATCTAAATGAGCACATAACAGGCCAAGGGGATGGAAAGAGAAAGAAAGGTGGGAAGGAGAAGTGATGCATGGGAGGGGATAGCTACAGAGCCCAAAACCTCCTATTTGAACTCATGATTTTTCCACTCCGGTTACCTTAGTACAGACCCCACTGTCTCCCTCTGTTGCTATGCAGGAGTCGAGGGGAGAAAAGTCTGGCTTGAAGTCCAACAAGATTCAGAGTCCGATTCTCTCCTCCATCACGATGGAGCAAGTGAAGAGGAGCCTTGCCAACAGCAATGGAGCTAAACCCCTGGAAACCAGCCCAGGCCAGCATCCACCCTTAGACTCTCAGGCTCTGTGGTCAGAGAGCTACAGCCATCTCAGCACTGTTAGGAAGAGAGTTTTTGCCATGCAGTAAGGAATGCCCATGAACTACCCTGAAGCAAGCGCACAGCTCACCACAAGACACAGAAAACACCCGGGCTGTCGTTGTCACAGTTTTCACTTGGAACAACTCACACCTGATAGTTACTCTGGGGTAGAAGCAGTGCCATAGCAAGGGGGGGCGGCTGCTCTGGATGCCAAAGCGAAGGGGCACCAACAGGCACTGCCCAGCCGGGGTGGGGCATGGGATGGAGCCGTGAGCACCTCATTGGGAGGGGGTACAGGGATGGGGGGAGGGTGGCTCCCACCACTCTGTGCATTCTCAGGCAAACAAGGGAGGGAGCATGAGCATGAGGTGAGGGCAGGCTGCCGCTGCAGGCTTTGCCCCAGGTGCCAAACTTCCTTGCCACAGTAGCAGGTAGAAGCCTGCCTTCTTAACAGGGAGAATGAGGCCACGCAGCCCCCAAAGCCCTGGAGGCCTGAGAGTTGTCTTGCACAGGCTCATTTTCCAGGGGCCTCACACAACAGCCTCCTCTTACTTACCAGTGCCTGAGCCAGCTCTGCCACGAGGCCGTGCTGGGATTGCCTGCTCCTTGCCTACTACTTCTGTCCTTCTTTCCTCCTTTGCTTTAGTCCCCTTGCTGGTCTCCACCCTCTCACCCAGAGGTTAGCTCCCCTCGCAGGATGGGGCTGCTGCTTGCAGCCAACTGCTTTCACACACCTGTGCGGAAACCTAATTGGAACCAATTAACTGTTCAGGTTTCTGGGACCTGAGGAGCCACCAGCAACTGCTGTAGTTCCAAAGGGACCTTTGGGGGTTTGTTCTTCCTTTCAGGAAAATGAGCCAAGTCTCCTCTGAAAGGAAATCTTTTTAAGAGACAGAGCAGTTCACAGTAGTCCTTCAAAGTGAATGGTAAATCTAACAATGAATTAAAAGAGACCTTCAAAAGGTTTAATGCAGAGGGGTGCTGTTCCCAGCCCTACACTTATCAGATACTGGGAAAATCTGAGCTAGTTTTTAAACCTGATGTTTTTTCAGTTTGGTTTTATTTAGAAAGTTGGTTTCATTTATTGGACTTGTCTTACATGGCCCTAGCGATGATCAGGGGACTCGCAGGGTTGTGCCACTACAGAAATCAAAGAAAAACAATGTGAGAAAGGAAGAGATTTTTTGTTGGACTGTTTAGAAAAGGGTGTATGGGTGTGGGTGGCACCTGTGTTTTTAATAGTTATTTAATTAAAATGTGGAAAGAAAAAAGCTAAAGTATTAACACTTGTCATTGGAGCCCTAAAGGGCCATGCAAGTGACTTAGACATTTTCCACAGTGTCCAAAGTCTACAAATAAGCTGTTTGAAGAAAACTTCCATTTTGTGATTATACCTCAACCACTAAGGATCTGGCTAATCCCAAACTTGGAATTCAAGATCACCAACTCACAGCCAGTAACACCAGTCCAGGAGATTGTGATACGCATTACTATTATCACTGTTATAATTACTATGGTTGTTGATATAAAATTAAACTATCCATAATTATATTTTGGATAATTAAACACATTTATTAATTCATTCATTATTCAATTATTCCATAATTATTGTTGTTATTACTAGAAGCCCCCTTGCTAAACCAATTTGATATGATAAAAATGTGGGTATTCAAGATTGAAAACAACATACAAAATCCATGCTGCTATCCCTCTTCTGGAAGTCAAAAGGGGCAAAGCCCATAGTTATTGTTAAATTTATAGGCTTAGATTTATAAGATCTACCAACCAGGGTGTAAGGGACATTTCATGTAGAGGTACATTTTACATTACTTTTAAAATATCTATTTTCTTCTCTTGTTTCCTGATTGACGGATCTCCTAGAAAGTAACATTAAAACTTTATTGCAATCTACAATATCTATGTCACAGAAAGAAGGTTTCTGGGATATCTCCAGTCAAGTGAGACATTATTCAAAGGATTCTGCAGATGGGATGGAATTTCCTTCCAAAGTTAGTTGCCATTTCTTTCTCTGTGGATAGTTTCTTGACAGCCCGAGTAGTGAAGATTAAAAGCGAAGAAATGTAGAATCAACTCAGGTTGTAGTTTTTTCTTTGTAGTTTACCTTTCAGCTTTGCTGGGTTTTTTTCCAGCAGCAAAGTTAATGGGGCCTAGGACTTTTATTACAATAGTGGCTAAAGGCAACCCAGAATGCTGTCTTGCTGGGCTAGGTATGGCATAAATACACATTCATAGATGTTACAGTCTTAACAAATAAGATAGGACAGAGAAGAGTAGGTTGACCAGCAATTTAAGTAATGTAAAACCAAGAGGTATCATGCTCACCTATTTTGGGGGGTTAGATTTCATTAGGAAGGGATCGCTTTGATGGAAAGAAAAGGGAAGGAAAGGTATATAAGATGGAGTAGTAGAGAAGAGAGTAAGAAGGACAGGGATAGAGCGAAGCTGAAGGAAGAGACTATGGAAGAGGAAGCCAATGAGGGGTTGAGCAAACAAGCAGTCAGAACATGGCAAAGAAAGGCCAGTCAAAGCTAGAAACATCTCTGGTTACTTCACCTATCACGGTGTTGTTGTGACAGCAAAATTACAAATCAAATCCTACTCCAACAACACAGGGCTCTCCCTTTGCAGAGAAAGCAGATTCCCCAGTAGGCGTGCAGGATCTATGACACAGCGAAGCAGTTCTGATTTTACCCCAGAGAGAGTTACATTTATGCTACACTGTATGTTTGCCTGTGCAACATGAGTGCCTTTTAACCAAACCTCTCAAGAGATTCTCCTGAGGCCTAAAGACTTTTTGCAGAGATCCAAGCAGGAACCTGTGCTAGACAGAAAGAGCATCCAAGTGGAAAGACTCATATTTAAGTAACAGCAGAGGTAAGATGGGCTGGACTGCTGCCTAATGGGAGAAAGAAGGAATAACACAGTGTTTTTAATGCAAGTCCCCAGAGGCTGGCTCCCCACAGTTCCACTTCCACGAAGCTTAAATTCGTGCACAGAAGCAGGCCAGGTATTTGTTTCCAATTTCATTGCAAGATAAAAAAGAAGATAGACCTCCTGGGAGCATAAATAATGATTCCAGGGCCAGACAAAGTTACAGTGCACACAATTCTAGCAACAGCAAGGTAGGAGCGATAAGTGGATAATATCAAGAAGCATATTCATGAAGTGTCCTCTGTTATTGACTCAGTTTTTACTTCAGTATCTGAGGGAAGCAGTAGGAAAGGACCAGTGAAGAAGGCATATTAAGCATTAGCCTCATTAGATAGGAGTTTCCCTCCAGCTCTTCATGCAGCCATAGTAAATGACAATTTTATGGTAGCTCAGGTGTCATACTTTCACATATAACTGCATGCATGTACACACATGCATTCGCTTACACCACTGACATGCACCCATATGTAAGATGAACTCCTCTGAGAGACCTGGCAAAAGCACAGCTTCTAGGAAAGACAAAAATCTGCTTGATTGAGGACTTTTTCAGTGAAATTATTTTTCACTGAAAAAACAGGTGTATTTTTATACCAAGGTAGCTCCCTCAAGATTAGCACTGTAGTATCCAATGGAGATAATGTAGTGTCTGCCGACCTGCTATACTGAGGGGGGGTGCACATCTGAAGCACCAGGGAAGCAGGTATTGCCAAACTTTGGGTGAGATCCTCACCTGTTGTCACTTAGTGCAGCTTCATTGACTTTAATGGGGCAATGCCACTCTGTTAGCTGAGGTTCTCTATTCCTGATTCTGAAATCTCTGAACCATACCTTAGAGCAGGGGTGTCAAACTCATCTAGCCTCGTGGGCTGGATGAGTAGTGTGGGACAGGCCCAAAGACAGGATGAATGGTATATAGCTGGTCCCGTGGGCTATATTGGCCCCACAGACCCTCCTCAACCCTCCTGCATATGCTTGCTCCAGCGGGTCCCAGACTATACTACATGCAGCTTCTGTGTGGGACTGGTTCAGGAGATGTGCTACACATGGTGCCCACTCTAGCTGGTCTGGGACCCATGTTGCATACAGTGCCTTCCCTGACATGCCAGGGTAAGAGGGCAGCACTGTGTGCAGACCAACTGGAGTGCACACTGTGTGCATCATGTATGCTGGACTGCTCAGGGTGGGTGCTGCATGTGACATGTGTCCCAGACTGGCTGGGGCACGGGCCGTGTGTGGTGCCTGGGTCCTGTATCCTTGACATCCCTGCCTTAGAGACATAAACAGCACAGTCTAATGGTGCTTGCTGTAAGTAATTTAGGGCAGTGGTTCCCAACCTTTTTTATACTGTGGATTGGCACGGGAGTGGGACAGGGTACACAGAACCAGCTGCCTCACTCCTGGGGCTGCCCTGCTGCCCAGCTTAAACCCCGCACGTGACTGCTGGTGGTGGAAGCCACTTGCCCAGGGGCTTGTGCCATGACCTGGCAGCCAACCCTTTGCGGCCCAGTTTCAGGCCACAGCCCAGTGGTTGGGAACCTCTTATTTAGGGGAAAATAATAACAAACAGCCCTGGGGACTAATTTTTCAAAATGTTGAATTCTTAATTCTGACTTAATTGGGAGCTGAGGGCACTCAACACCCTGAAGAACTGGACTCCAAACCATAAGAGAATCTGACTTGTGCAAAAAATTGTAGATTGAGTTTGTGTAGGGTGGATGCAGGGGTGAGGAACGGAATAGCAGGGGGCCAGGGGAGAAGCAGACACCCTACAGGTATGTGGTACACAGGGCAGGAATGGAGTTTGTTCCTCTATAGTGGAGAGGGATAAAATAGAGAATTGAGTCCAGAAAATGTAAATTGAGAATAAGCACAATTTAAAAAAAAGGAATAAGCCACTGAATAATTTGCTACAACCAACTGCCACCCTCGCTTTGCCTGAGGAACCTCATGGAAGCCTATGTTAGCTTTGATTTGTGAATAGTTGAGAACAGTTAAGACAACTTCAATGTCCAATGTATCAGCCAGATTAAATCCATTGTCAACCAGCAGAATCTTCTTAAAAACATCTAGCTAGGGGCTGAATGTGGCTGGTGTACACACCACCTATCATTCCTCTTCAGTGGAGCTGAAGTAATGCAACAGCAGGGAAATATTTTTCTGTGACTCTATGATATGCTTGTAGGTGTGTTCAGGGCTCTTGTCATTCTGAGTGTCTCCTTCAGGGCTCTTCGTGAGGCAGAGTCAAGTGGTCCCGTCACCTTAAGGATGCAAGAGGAGATGCTCTTACAGCCAGAAGAGTTCTCTGAGACACATTATTAACCCAGCAAGTAATTATTTTTATTCACTGGTAAGTGAGTGTTGCTGTGAATCTTGATTTGTTTTTATCCATTTTTAATCAGGATTCAAAAATACCACATTTCTGTTGGCATTACACAGTTACATGCGATGAGATCAACAACCAGATAATGACATGTAACTTGAGCAGAGGCTGCAGCCCAGTCACTTGGAGACTGTGGCCATGGGGCCACTTCAAGAATGTTTGACATATGGGCTCAATTTAATATTACTGTATCCTTCTACAGGACCTGCGTTCTCTCCAAATATGTATCCGTTAATTTCCACAATACGATGGTATTGCCTCCCTTTCTCCACGCACAGGAACAGAACCCAGCTCTACCTCATTCT